ATTTATAAAGACTATCCAAAGTATTATGCATCCATTTCTTATTTAAAATACAGTGGGACTATGAACGTAAAACCTGATCTACTGTTTTTGTAAGTATTTTACTATGGTGTAAAACATTCCTTCAGTTACAAATGCATCTTCAACATGTTTTATAGAGCAATTATGATAGTTCATAATTATTTTTAGTAAATATGCTGATTCTGAAGACAAATGTGGAGGGATAACCAAAATAATCAAATCTAGTTTAATCAAACCCAGTCAAATTCCTGATTCTAAGCATCATTTAGTGAAGAATCATAATGGAATCATTGTCAGAGCATATATTTACACCCTTTTTAATCACTATACAAGAGTTCCTAACGAGCACAGAGTATTTATAGTGCAAGAACAGAGCTGATGAAGGTCCCAGAGTTGGTCCATCATGAGCAGGTGTCTTAGCACTCACTCTAAAAATGGCTGTTGATTGACATGCACATTAGAAACGGGCCCTGCGTCTCAATGTTCATACTATCCATCCTAAATGTGAGATTAGAATAAGTGTGTCCCAAAGCATATTGAAAAGAGTATGCCAAAAGTCCCAGGATGGTCTACTATTTCAGGTCGAAGTGTGGATCTGTGCACACTCTAATGGCTAATATTGCCCACAATCCATTGCGCTTTGGTGAAGGATTCTGTCCAGAACTACAAACACGAATAAAACGCGTTAAAAACTAGAAACATGGCGGATGTGCGCGACCGGAGGTTAGGTTTAGAGAGGCTTAGAAAAAGGGGTTTGAGTTTGTAATATTCAACATTTAACCTGGTAAAAAAAATATGTATTTAATGTTTAATGTTATATTTCATCTGTAACAGCAATGCAAACTTTTATAAACATCCGTTTGGTCGTTAACTTTTAAATACATCATTATGCATAAAATATGAGCAGAGTTCTCAGCATGAAAGACCCACAGCTCGCAGACCAACGAGCTACTTCTTTTCTCTCCAATATGGTAGGAAGTTAAATTAAATGCAATGTGGAGGATGCTAACTGTGACAAGATGATTGACAGGCCAGTTTACAGTGACAAGGTGCGTGTATCTATGCGACAGAGCGTTGTTGTGTGACGTGATAGTAGGCCTATGTCCCAAAGCTTGCCTACTCTTCTACTACACACTCAAAAGTGTGTACTTTTTCTTCACCAAAAGAGTACATACTTTAAGGGCGTAGTATAAGTAGGCACATTGAGACGCAGCATGGGTTTTGATGGATGGATTCCAGAGATCACGTGACAGGCTAGAGGACCAGGCCCATTTGGGGTCCCAATGATGGAAGCTGTCTAAATCTTTCCTTGTTATTGATTACTAGCATTAAATTAGTCTTCTGCTGCTCTCTAGTGGTCTTTATGAGTAATTGATTTAGACCAGCAGATTCCTCACTAAGTAGTTGGGAAACATTAAAGTGCCCTCGCTTAAATTGGCATAATATTATGGTTAAAAAGGTGATTACATGTGAAATATAATACACATAAAACATTAAAACCATAACACAGCATAAAAACACATGGCCTTTACAAATAGTAGCCTACTGTAGCGGTACAGTGATGGTAATATACCATGGTACTCTACTAATAGTATTGCTCTGGTATTACTGTGCTTATATATTAGCTATTAACATGGTGTTTCAATGAATGCCATGGTACCATGTTCAAAACATGGTAATACTATGGTACTTTTTGTAAGTACTATAAAGCATACTTACATTACGACATGAGGTTACTGTCCGCTTCATCTCAGGGGAAATAATGTTGGTTTACACTGAAGCACAATTTATTTGGGGGGGGGGGTGTCACGTGATCACATGTCTGCGGTGATTAGTAGGAATTGCACGTCCGAATCACGTCCTGTCTTTTTAGATACCTGCTATCCATTCCGTGATGGTTGAGCTAAAAAAACTTAAAGATGGCGTCTAAAAGTTGCAGTTGGTGGTCGGTTTGTGTGTAAATATATGTTTCTGACCAACTTTTTGCACTTTTGATGTTATTTCTAGCTAGAAATCAGTATTATAGTATTTAAATATTCACTTAGTTATCACCAAAGTTTGTTCTATTTTGTTGTAGATCAGTGGTCCTCAATTCCAGTCCTGGCCTACCACCGCTTTGCATATTTTGCATGTCTCTCGTATTTAACACACCTGATTCAGATCATCATCAGCTCGTTAGAAGAGAGCTCCATGCGTGAGCTATGTTCCAATTGGCATGGTGCCTCCCTACACAGTGTCCATTGCTCCCTACTCTAGGGTGACCATACGTGCCATTTTCCCAGGACGCATCCTGGCCATGACTTCTATATTGCCTAAAATATCTAGGTTTTGGCTTTGTTTGCGTGTGCAGACCGATCGGTGTATGACATCAAAATACCATACAGACGGTTCCTTATGCTTTCAAAATGCTCTCGAGGTATTTTGATGTCATACACCGATCGGTCTGCAAACGCAAACAAAGCCAAAACCTAGATATTTTAGGCAATATAGAAATCCTGGCCAGGATGCGTCCTGGGAAAATGGCACGTATGGTCACCCTAGAGTAGGGAGCAATGGACACTGTGTAGGGAGGCACCATGCCAATTGGAACATAGCTCACGCATGGAGCTCTCTTCTAACGAGCTGATGATGATCTGAATCAGGTGTGTTAAATACGAGAGACATGCAAAATATGCAAAGCGGTGGTAGGCCAGGACTGGAATTGAGGACCACTGATCTACAACAAAATAGAACAAACTTTGGTGATAACTAAGTGAATATTTAAATACTATAATACTGATTTCTAGCTAGAAATAACATCAAAAGTGCAAAAAGTTGGTCAGAAACATATATTTACACACAAACCGACCACCAACTGCAACTTTTAGACGCCATCTTTAAGTTTTTTTAGCTCAACCATCACGGAATGGATAGCAGGTATCTAAAAAGACAGGACGTGATTCGGACGTGCAATTCCTACTAATCACA